TCAGATATTAAAACCTTACAAAAACAAATTGTTAAAACTATATCGTGCGTTTTATTTAGAATAGTCGCCGTCTTCAACATTATTTTAGTATTTATTCAACGCAAATTGAATTGCCGTCCATTTTCTATGTTGCTTAAATGAAAGATTCACATCTTACACGTACACGTAACGCCGAACAACATTCACTTTATAACCTGCGCCGGAACAAGAAAAACTCCAACGTTGCAGAAATGCCTAACAGCGGCGATGAAATTTGCGTTCAAATTTCAAAAAATGGTAATTTTAATGGAATGAATAAAAAATATAAGTAAAAATATGTTATTTTTTATTATTTTATTAAATAGTGCGGGTTTTTAGCTTTCGAAAGAAGAAATAGAAACCTGGTAATTTTTTGCACTTTGTGAAGTAATGCGTTTTTTGCTAATGCATAAAATCATTTTTTCATTTATTGCCAGTTCCATCAGATCTGCAGGAATGGTTCTATTTTCAAAAATGAAGTGTCAGATTAAAAAGCTTGACCTGTACACAATAGAGCTTTTTTTGTTTTAAAGAGTTGCCACCTGTAAAAAAAATTAAATTCAAATTTTTTAATAAGTTAAATGAATTTTTAAGAGATGGGTATCAATCGAAATGTGTATAAAAAGGGTTTATTTCTTAACTACATGTAGAGGGTTGCCACCTGTTTAAATAATTAAATTCCATTTGAATTAAAGGAATTTGGTAATTGAAATATATAAGTATCACCATATCATATGAAAGAGGTTTAAGAAGGTTTCAGCTTGCAAATATTACGAAGAGGGTTGCCACCTGTTTGCAAAGTCAAATTTTAGTTAAACCAAAATAATAATTGTGTCAAACCAAAGGTTTAAGACATCATATTGTTATTTTATTACAAATACATACCTTGTAAATCAGTGGTTTGTTCTGATTACATTCCTCTAAATTACTGGACTCTTAAATTAACTCAGGAATGTTTTACTCTTCACTTATTTCTTGCTAAATATGTCCAATTTTTCTTTTGTCTGATATCCATATTGATTTACATATTTCAGATACCTTATTTCTTCACCTAAAGTGAATTGGAATTTTTAAACATGTGTCAACATGTCGTTTAGGAGTAAAACATTTTTAAAACCATTTCAATTGATACCCATATTGTAATATCAAATTCATTTAACTTATTAAATAATTTTAATAAAATTTGTAACAGATGGCAACCCGTTTCAAAAAAAATAAAACTTTATTGCACATCTACAGGCCAAGCCCTGTCATTTGACACTTCACTTTTGAAAATATGTAAATGCCAAAAGAACCCAATTTTTCAACGTCAAACTGCATCTACAGTGAAAGTATGCAAGTTATCCAAAAATAAATTGCACTTTTCAATTTAGCGTCCCCACTTTACTAAGAAGCGAATTTTCTTTCAAATCCGTCCATAATTCTATTTTTACCCCCATTTTATATGGAAGGGAAGCACTGTGCTACGTACCAAATTTTAAGCAAATCGGACCATAATACGATTTTTTCGAATAGATCGGTCCCTGGTCCACCTACCGGAAAAGTAAATTTTTTTTTGGTGTATGACGTGGTGGCTGCTGAAAGCATCGAGTTTTGCGCTAAGTTTAAAGTTTCAAGTCTCTAGCTCATCGGGAAGTTGGTTAGAATTGATAGAAAAATTCCAGGAGATATAAGTATGTATGTAAGTGAAGTTAAATAAAAGCTTGTAAAAACGTAACATTTTTATTCACTGGGATTAACATAAAACTATTAAAAAGAGAACGGCGGTTGTCAATCTAGTATTATTATTATTATATTATTTAAAAGAGATAAAATATGTTGATTTTTGTTTTCAAAGGTTTTAAACAGGAAACTAATATTATTTCATTTTACATGCGCAGAGGTGTACAAAAGAAACATCGATTGTCGCCATCAACTATCGATGTTTAGAAAAAATGCAAAAACATCGATGCATCAATAGTGTCACGATGGTTTCTCCACCTCTAGTGAACGCTCCTTCTTAAGGTTACATGGTTTTTATTTATTTATTTGTTTATGAAGTCTACCAACAGGATGTTCTTACAGACTACACATATTAGAAAAAATTACATATTATAAAATATTATTGAGATTACTTAAATAAGATTCAAGCCGATTTCGGAAAATACCCTTTGGCATAGAGAGATCAAGGTCTAGAGAACTAGAAATCGTATTGATTTCTTGCAAAGTTCTATTTAAGGGAGCATTTCGACTGTAAAGAGTTTTGCTAATAGCGACTCTAAACAAATCAGAATGCCGCAAAATTCTGCTAGGAACATTGAAATAAATTCTGCTGAGCAGTAAGGGGCAATCAACGTTACCGGAAATTACATCGAAAATGAAGGAAATGGACAGGAAAATTCTTCGGTTATGCAATGGCATTAAGTTAATTAATTGACAACGTGAAAAATAGGATGGGATAGGGTCGGAGAAGTTAAGCGATCTTAAGGCGTGTCGGATAAACACGCGCTGGACTGACTCAATCCTGTTTATGTGGACTTGGTAATAAGGTCTCCAAATAAAGGCAGCGTACTCTAATCTTGACCGAACAAATGCAGAGTATAAGACTTTGTGAGTGTAGGGATTCAAAAACGCAGTACTGTTGTGTCTTACAAAAGCAAGCATCGAAAATGAATTAGCAACGATATAATTGACATGCGTAATGAAGGTAAATTTCGAATCGAAAAATACTCCGAGGTCCTTAACTACGTTGAGAGACTCCAATCTAGTATCAGAAATACGGTATGATGTGGATAGCGGTGTAGATTGTTTTGAAAACGTGATTTGGTTACATTTTTTAATGTTAAGAAATAAGCGATTCTTAGCACACCACAAAAATAATCTGTCAAGATCAGCTTGAAGTAGAAGCGCGTCATTATAAGATCTAATAACTGAGTAGACTTTTAAATCATCTGCGTATAAGAGATACTTAGAGGTAGCAAAGCACGACCCGATGTCATTAATAAATATTAAGAAGAACAATGGGCCCAATATACTACCTTGCGGAACTCCAGAGGTGAGCAAAAAGGTCTTCGAAGAAGCGCCATCTAGAACAACAGAACTAGTTCTGTGTGATAGATAGGTCTTTATCCACTGAAGCATGGACGAGTGAAACCCAAGCTGCGAAAGTTTACTAATTAAAATCGTGTGCGAAATTCTATCAAATGCCTTGGAAAAGTCCGTGTATATTGTATCCATTTGATACCCTGCAATGAAACTTTTAATACAGTCGTCAGTAAAAACGGCAAGATTAGTTACAGTGGATCTACCTGCAACAAAACTATGCTGATTGGAGCAAATAACCCGCGGTAAAGTATAAAACAGCCTATTTTTTATTATAACTTCGAAGAGCTTAGAAACTGTGGTTAGCTTAGAGATCGGACGGTAGTTGCTGACATCACTCTTATTACCGCTTTTAAATATCGGCGTGATGGAGGTATGCTTCCATTCCTCAATAAAGATGCCAGACGATAGCGATTTATTAAAGATAAATTTCAAGGGTTCCACTAAGGAAACGCATTTCTTTAATAAAATAGCAGACATGCCATCTTCGTCTGTATGACAAGAATGTTTGAGATTCTTAATACCATCTAGAATATCTCCGTCTTTGAGAATCAGGAGCCTACATCGAAGGAAGCACACTCCATATTGTTAGTGTCACTATCCGCAATTAGCTCACCAACCCCATCATCTGATACAAAATTTGAGGCAAAAAAATCAGCAAAAAGGTCAGCTGCCTCATATAACGAGGCTGCAGTAGCATTCTTATAATAAACCGAGGTGGGAACGTTAGATACACCCTTCATAGACTTAATGTAGTTCCAGAAACATTTCGGATTGCTTTTAATGTTTCTTTCAAAATTGGCAATGTAACCCCTATAGCAGGACTTATTGAGAGTATTAAACTGATCTCGGTAACTCGTATAGGAAACAAAGTGTGTGCTGTCCTTAGTTTGCTTAAACTTTTTAAAGAACTTATTTCTTAGATTCTTAAGACGCTTCAACTCCCTCGTGTGTCAAGGTAGCTTGTAAGACATTTTGGCATGAATAGGTATATACATCTTACTTAGATTAAAAATAATATTCCTGAATTCATTAAAACAAAAAGCAACATCGCCTGACCCAAAAACATCATTCCAATCAATAGAGGAGAAGGTATGGTCAAGAAAGTCAAAGTCACAAGAGCCATAGTTAAAGGAAACACTTTGCATATCTCTAGGAATGCAAAAGTATTCAAAAAACTCAATCTCCAATATTAAAGGAAAGTGATGCATATTAGGCGGGGAAATTGCAGTAACGGGAAGATATAATTTAAACTTAATGTTATTGCTAACAAAAATTAAGTCTAAGATCCGATTTAGACTATTGGAGAACCCATTGACTTGTGTTAAGTCGATACTTAATAAATTATCAACTAAGTAGGACTCGGTATTACTGCTTATATTAGATGGAGTTAAATACATGTTGTTGTGCAAATAGGACCACGAAATATTGCTAAGGTTAAAGTCCCCTAAAACACATAACTGGTGAGCACTAATTTCCGATTGCAGAGCAATAATGTTATCGACATGAGCACTATAAATGCGATCCTCACTGGCTGGCGGAATATAAGATGCGCAAAGGTACAGCAATCCGGAGACACCTTTTAGGCGCACACAAAGCTGATCAAGCATGGAATCGGTGCATTTTAACGCTATTGAAGACGCTTGAAGTTCACAACGGGAGGCAATGAGCACGCCCCCACCTCTACAGCAACCAGTTTTTACGGCATCTCGATCCTTACGGAAAACGTCATAGCGGTTCAGATCAAAAAACTGAGCATCGAAAAATTTTTCATTAAGCCATGTCTCGATAATGACAAATACGTCATAGTCCAATTGCGAACTCAGCAGGCGCATATCCTCTGACTTGGTTCTTAAACCTGAAGCATTGTGAAAGTATATTTTAATAGATTTGCGGTCATTAGAAGCCGGCTCCGCTAAGCTGTATGATGATCGGGCAATGTTTTCTCGAAAAAACGAAACGGACGAACGGCCACATTGACAGGCCAGAGGTCTGAGTTTAATATAGAGTCAAATGAGTACTCAGGAACACCTAGTTTGAAATTTATCCTTTTCAAGTCAGCATCAGGTGTACCTTTTTTTACCAGCTTGTAGCAAGACATACTATTTTTATTGACAGTTGAGTGCTTTGCGACATAGTCAATAATATTATCCTCCGTGACTGATTTTGAGAAGGAAGATAAATGCAACCACTTGTGTCGAACTGCAACCTCCAACTCTATATTTGTATTAGCGCCCCAAACAGTCTTCTTATTTAAGTTTTTACGCTTTTTTTTCTCCACTGTGGACCACTGTGCACGATTACTTGGTAAAGGTGCCTTAACACCAACACTATGATTGTTATTAACAGTAGCAGCACCAGCAACCCCAACATCGGCGTTCTTGTCAATAACAGGCGTAGCGGGCAGCACATTGAAAACATGAGCAGCATCCGTGCTAATAGTTGCCGACTCATGCGCAGCATTAGAAGACGAAGGCACAACGTTGATGTTTGTAACATTGGCATAGGTACGAGTAATATTAGCATTAGGAGTCATACGCTTCGCAGGCATAACAGGTGAGAGAGCCGCATTGGTCACTGTTCGCTTTCCATTGCCATTAGCAGCTGGCGCAACAGTTGGATTGGGCAGCGGAGATGCACTTTGGGAAACAGCGTCAGCAGAGAAACGGCTTATACTCTCACAATTGTTATCATTGTCGACAGCAACAACGCTAGAACTCACAACAGCACTTTTGATGGCATTTAGCTCGGCAGCTAAGGCTTTAATGCATGAAGCGTTGTTGTTGCCAACGGCGATGCTTTGTGTGGTTGAATTTATTTCAGCTTTTAATAATTCTATCTGCACATAAATATCAAATCGACTTAGATGTATTTATACACGTAGAGCACAAATAGCAAATATGGCGATTGAGATTAATCAATCCAAGATCATAGTCAGTGACCTGGCCTTCACAGCAGGAGCGATGGAAACGCAGATTACAAAATCCACTACAAGGCACTATGTTAGAGTCATTTCTTGCAAACCGCTTTTCACATTTACCGCAGGAGTCGGTCATATTATGAATTTATTGATTTTCACAAGAGCGCGGTAAAAAACACGTCTACACAGCTCGACGACTTACTTTCGTATTAGCTTTACTTTACATCCACAGAGATACAGAAGTTAGGAACCAGGAAATATTGAATACAATATTTTCTTTTAAAGACGAAGCGGTACAGAAATGTTCATGCCGGTTCATGTGTGTAAGCACTCGAATTTATTAAAAAAACTAAAGTATAGGCATATTTGGTGGAACTGATTACATGGAAAAAATACATTTTTTAAATCCAGGGTCCGCAATCTGTTTTTGCCAAAGACCAATATTTGGCTGGAAATTTAATGATAATTTAGTATTAAAAAAATTAAAGACATTTACATACCCAGAGTTATCAGTTTCATCCTCACTTGTCACGTTAATTTCCGTGCTTGTGTAATCCATCCTGTGTAAAAATAAAAGAGTTTGATTAAAGCAAAATTATTAGAAAGTTTTGAAGCATACACATCGTCGCCTTTGAGTGTAAACCTGCTAACTAACTTCAAAGACGTTTTACAGGTGAAACAAAAAACTAATATTTTTTTTATTTTTAGCTTAGCAAAAGCAAAAAGACGTCACAGCATCGTAAATGAAATGGAAAACGTCGTGACTAATATTTTAATTTTTTTTCATAAAATGATGTGGCGAGTTTTATTCGATGAAATCCATCATATAAATCAAAAAGTGAATTTTGAATTTTTTTTAGTTATGACTTTTTGCATTACAACGATGATGTTTGTTACGTCGTTTTGCATTTCAGGTGACGATAACTAGTTGGTTTATTTTGTAATACGTACTCTATATCTATACAGACCTTGCAGACCTGTTTGATATACATACACGAAAAATAATTTGTATTGTAAGAAATTCATCTGACCACGAAATGAACTTATGATTAATTCAAATAGATTTCTGTTAATGGAAACAATCATATTTATGTATGTATGTATTTAGAGGAAAACCAAAAAAAGGAAATTTTTCAACATAGTATTAAAACAAGAAGGTAACTTTTTAGCTATATTTAATTTTCTACTATTTTTACCACCAAAGACTAAAAATCTACCATTATTTTCCAGTAAGAAAATAAAGAGATTCAAATGAACGAAATGTATTTTGACATCGATATTTTTCGTTTGCAATACATTTATACCGGGGACAGACATCTGGTATTTCTTCGTAGCATTTCCATTATACCATCAGTGTTGCCGCGGCGTTCAGAAGAAATGTATCACCAAAATTCCCTAAAATGGATCAAAAGTATCATGAAAAAAAATTTTAAGTATCAAAGTATTAATCTTCAATAAAACTTCTAATTCTTAAATTAAAATGGTAGTTTGAATTTTTAATTAAGATCGTTGACAGTTTTTATTAATATTTTTATGGTTTTTATATAAAATACAGAGTGAAAATAAAGCTTTTATACTTGGTATACAGTTGAATTCATTTGCATACTTAACTAAAATCACATATCAAATTGGTATTTATTTGTATATAAAACTCGGCCCAAATCACGGTATCCGGGAGTAATTTTCACAATACTTACTGAATTACTCTGGATGAAATTCTTGAGGCAGTGTCACACGATTGGTACGTTTGTACAGATTTGTACATTTCGGCAGTTACAGAGTAGTGTTGTTTGGAAATTTTTTTATTGAGCTGAACTCAAATTTATAAAGAACACCACTCTGTGACTGCCAAAATGTACAAATATGTACAAATGTACCAATCGTGTGACACTGCCTCAAGAATTTCATCCAGAGTAATTCAGTAAGTATTGTGAAAATTACTCCCGGATACCGTGATTTGGGCCGAGTTTTATATACAGTTTTTTGTTTAATGTTTTATTGACGTAAAATACAGTTTTTGTAGTTTTATGAAAAATTACAATTTATCCCAAGGCGATAGCAGGAGTACAAGAGCAAAAGGGCCAATTCCAGATGAATATTTAGCTTTCGTTGGGCTTCAAATCAACTTTATTTAAATATCTCAAACAAGTGGGCAACAATGTTGCTTGTTCCTTGAAATGGTTTGTGCGTGTGTTTAGAACCAAAATACAGCTGCTCTGATAACAAGCCTTATATGAACTCGCCTTGATTATCGTATATGAGTAAAAACTATCAAATATTGTTTCTGTAAAAAAATCTACCAACTTCTACCATTTCCTGTATGTAAAATCTACCACTCTTAATTTTATCGGAGCCAGGGTGACCAGATGAGGCGAAGGAAAAATCAGGACACTCGAAAGGGAACAACTCGCCTCCACAAGCCACATAATCGCACCTTTGAGTTTCATGGTTGTAAAAAAGGTCGAAATTTTAGATTTTTCGAGCGTTTATTAATGCATAGACTGACCGCAACGTTGATCCGGATTAACGACGTAGTTGATCTGATCAAAATTGCGCCTTGACAGATGGCAGTAATACGGTTTAACAAGCCGCAAAGTCGTGGATGCGAGTCCCACGACCAGTATAATTTTTATTTATTTATATAATTAACTAATAACAACTATAACTTCTATGTTTTGAAGTTACTTTCAGTTAGTTGTTGTTGACTTTTTTAATAAAACCAAACTCTAAAAACTTAAACTAATAATAAAATAAATAATCTTAAATAAAATAAAACAAATGAAAATTAAACAGCTAAATAAAATAAAATAAATAACAAAAACAAAAACAAAAACGGGCTAGAGACCAAATGAAAATAATGCGTTCAGATTATCCGGCCACATATTATCCGGGAAAAAGGTTCTAAGGAATAAGTGAATAGAAAAATGCATTCAAAATGTTCGGAATGTAAATAAAGAAACCCTGGCCATGTGTTAACATTGTTACGGTGATTTTCCACAGTTTACGGACACTTGGGAAAATCATTGGGAACCATCAAATTATTTGGTCAAAAGGGGTATCAAATAGACGCATTTTAAAACGCCAGTTTTACGAATCCGGGTACGGAAAAAACTTCTTTTTTTAACATTTGAAAAGTTATCTGCAGAAAATACATTCCGAATATTATTTACGATGTTAACTCCAGGTGGCACTTTTAAATCATAAAAACCTTTCTTAAAAACTATTTTGAGCACCACTAACACTGGTTTACAGTAGTTTACAGTAAAATTGTTCAATGAATGCCACTATCCAATCCCTATAAAGAATTGCTCGCTGATTTCGAAAATCGACTTAATTTTTTATTCTATGGATAAGTTTTCAATATATTTTCAATTTACCGTTATTCAGCTTAAAACAAAAGTGGGTACACTTAAGCACGTATATCTTACGAACCAATTTAACAATCTTAATATGAAATACGGCAAATGAAAGCTAACAAAATTCTACATAAACCGTATATACAACACTTTTCGATAGGTCTGATAGTTGTTGCCAAATTAATTAATTTTCCCGAAAAAAACTGTCCATTCCCCGCTTGCCACCTAAACCGAAATTCCCTGCAAATCGGAGAATTTCCCGCGAGTTTACAAGTTGAAGGATGCAGCTGTGCTAATCACTTCCTACATGTCTTGAAAACCCCAAATTGTCTGCATTTTAGAGTTTGTTTGAGTCACATTCCGAAATTGTAACATTTATTTCCCATTTTAATTGCAGGTATTAGGGCTGGGACTATCCGCACATTTGAATATCCGGATATCCATGCGGATTATCCGTTGACACGAATAAAATCCGGATAGTATGGATATGCGGTTAATATTCGCTTGAGCAAGTATTCGGATGTCCGGATTTACGAAGATCCGGTTAATAATCGTATTTTCAGATATCCAAAAAAATCAACAAACTGAGTAATAATATTCGTGAATTCAATTATGCACACGATAGAGTGAATTAGCTCTTGACGGACTTGAAGTTGACCTTTTGTTTAGTATCGTTTTGTCACAATATAAACAAATGGCACTATTCTTGTCATCAATTTTAGAAATGCTACAATTTGGTAAAAAATTCACAACGACCAAAAGTATCGTAATAGCTTTCATTATTCCGTCCATGATATTTTAAAGCCATGAAAAAACTCTCGCGGTCAATTTTATTTTATTTTTTATTTTTACGAAGCGATACTTTAATTTCCCAATGCCAGGCGTTCATGCATATGAAGTAGCAAGTTTTCTATACGCATATATTTGTTTGTTGAACTTTTTAATTCGTTTGTAGAAGCCTTTGAAATTAGAAAGCAGAATTTTGGAGTTTAAAATTTATACAAACAATTTTGTGCGTAGAATATTATTAGGGATGCTAGTCCCGAGATCCCGAACTTTTTTAAGTCCCGAAAATACCGGGATTATTTCCCAAGAATCCCGTGATTTCCGGGATTTATAATTTGCAATGGTGGCAATAATATAATGCGCTTTGTTGACCAGTTTTTGCTATATTTCTTTTGTTTATTTAGTATTTAATATTTTTTTTATACATACATATGTCTAGCGAATTATACATACACATAACACCGTGAGACAGGCAATTTTGCACACACAAAAATCTGGCAAAATATATGCAGTAAAATTGCGTGTTTAGCGTTTCTCGCTGACGTCAGGATTTTTTAAAAGGACTTTGAAAATTTAATAACATGAGTAATTCATTTCAATACCTGTTCGTCCTTGTGAACCCAAAAAATTTATTTTTTTTAAATCCTACGGAATTATTTCTTTCATTTGGTACAGGTAATAAGATCAACGTAAATAAGGTCAATTGACTTTATTTCCCACCCTGGTGCGAAATAAAGTCAATTGACATTATTACCTTTTTAAAAACGAAATAAAATCCTTTGACATTATTTCTCTTTCACACCGCGCGCGCACACCACGTCACGCTACGCCGCGGCCCCCCCCCCCCC